GGAAGGAGTTGTGGTTGTTATTATGTGTCATCAAGTTGAGTAGACTCACTGTGGAGGAAGGAGAGAGAGAGAGAGAGAGCAGCCTGAGGGAGTGGGTTGGGACAGGAGAGAACACATCTGGAGAAGGAATGTGTTTATTTTATTGGATAAAAGAAGCAGGCATTTTATAAGCTGAAAAGAAAGAACTGGTATAGATAAGGTGAATTTTCTTGACGAGAAGAGACATAATGCCTGGCTTATAGAGGAAAGTATCTGAGGCCAAGGACCAGGACCAGTGATTAGCCTTTAACAAGAGGGGTACCTTGTTTCCAGAGAAGGGAGGGCTGGAGGGGAAGGAAATTGGAGAAGCTGGCCAATTTGTGGGGGCAAGTCGCTGAGGTAATTCATGCTTGAAGGTCTCTGTTTTCTCAGGGAAGTTCAAGGAGAGAGGGGTGAGGCTGCAGGGAGTAGGGTGGGGCAGTAACAAGGGAGAGAGCCAGAGGAAATTTGGAATGCGGGCCAAGGAAATGGAGGCTGGGAATGGGCACCTGACAAGGGAAACAGGCCCAGAGATAACTGAAGGGGTATGGAGCCAAATGAGGTTGTCTGAATCTTGACTTTATCTTCCCTAGGGCAAGTCTTGTCACCCTCACTGGGCTGTTAGTAGCATCTTGAGCTGTTATTAGTGTCTTGTGGCAGTTCCTACAGCACCTCCCTCTTTCAGGTCCATTCTCTTGGATTCCAAGTCTGACCCAGAACAGGCAAGGGTCCTTCAAGGTAATCACTGACAAAATGCAGATGCACTCTAGGGATTTTAGAGGGAACAGAGGCAGGATCAAACTTATCCTCATGGAAAGTTCTGCATTTTGATTGATCCAGATCTTTCCTGCTACACGGCAGGCCACTTGCTTCCTTTTCTGTGCTAAGTGCTTCCTGTTCTGTGCTCAGTGCCAAGGGAAACAGCCAGGCTCCCACTTTTTGTTGAGCAATGCTTGCAGGCCTTAAATCCTGCAGGCTGGGTTGGGATAGGAATGCTGGTGACATAGTGCATAATGTAGCTGGCTGCTAACCAGGAAACTCAGCCATTCGAATCTACCACCCCCAGTGTGGCAGAAAGATAAGTAGTCTCCTCTCACAAAGACTGTAGCCTTAGCACTGACTCAATGACAGTATTTGATTTTTTGTTCTGGAAGTGGTTTGAAGTGGTGCACAAGAGCTGAACAAGGCTTTGGTGGCAGGAAAAAGATCCAGGTGTGTAGCCATGGGGAGAGGATGGCTGGCGGGGACGGGGCTTTCCTGGGCTTTAGCAGAACCTGGGAGCTAAGTACAAAAAGAACCCTGAGGTCTGCTGCTCAATGGAGTAAGAGGACAAGATAGTTCTGAACATGAAGGGCTGTGGCTGACTGACCACTAACACAAGATGGGAGGTGGCGGTGGGAGGAGTGGTCAGCATGAGTTCTGGGGTCATGTGAAGTGTTTCCCCTCTTCCTCATTTCCCTCTTCCCTCCTGCTTCTTGATCCCCTAGAGGTCACCAAAATAGTATGGTGTGGCAATAGATCTATTGCCAGCCCAGAAGTGTCTCTTCTCCATCTCTTTCTAACCCTGTCTCCTCAGCCTGACTCCTTTCTCTCAGCTTCTTTCTTCATTTTAGCCAGTGTAAACCAACCCTCATCTCCTGGAGGTCGCTCAGTCAATCAGAGATCCTCAGAGACTGATAGATGCTTACACTTCCCTGAAGCCCCCTCTTTCCTACCCTGTCCCTAGGATTTCCCTCTTTAGGACCCAGCTACACTTACACAATTCAGGAATCTAGTTCTTGCCCCAATTCAAAGCACATTTCTCTGCACTTATTTCACCATATATAATAAACCTTTGTTTGTTGAGGGCCAATACAGGGCCTGAATGTTGTGTTAGGTGGTAGCTGGCTGTTAGATAACTTTCCTTTGCCCCTCTATTTGTAACTCACAAGTTTGTTCTCTCTAGGTTTGCTCCCTTTCCTATAGGTAACCTTAACTCTGAGTTTTACTCCAGAATTGACCCTGAACCCAGTGCCAGTGACAAAAAGGAAATACAACTGACAGCTAAAGAAGCAAAGGAGGATGGAGCCTCTGGGTTCAACCAGCCACCCCCACTGGACCCACCTGGAAAAACATTTTGCAGTCCAGAGGGGAGCAAATTACAGGAAAATATCTTCTAACAGAACAAGAAGGCAAGTAGCCTTAACCCAAGATCGCCAGTAAGGTGATAAAGTGTCCTCCCTTTCCCCCTTCACATCAATGCCCCTGTTCTGCATGAAGAAGCCAGAGAGTCGGCATCTAGTTCCCAAATCAGTATGACAGTTGATTTGACTACCATTGGAAAATTCTTGTCATTTTCCTGTAGCATCTGGTCCCCACTGGATCACTTTCATTTCCTTCACCTGCTCCCCCCACCAACCAATTTCTGCAGCTCTGCAACTGCATCCCCGCTCATCCTCACCCTTCTGCCCCCAACCATCAACTCCTTGTACCCCCAATTAAAAAAAATGTTTAAAAAATTAAAAAAAAGTTACAGAGAAAAAAAAAGAAAACTTTCCTTTGTTTGAGCCACACCATGTCTTTCTGTAGCTTCCACCTATGCGCCCTCAGTCCTGCCCTTTGAAATCACACAGGACAAGTAAAATTTCATCACATTTCTCAGATATTTGAAAAAGACAGGCAATTGTTCCAAGAATCTTCTCTTTTCATTGGATAAGCATGTCTTTGTTTCTTTTTTGTTTTACTTTTTATAACCCACAATAATTCATTGTGAATTTTAAACATTTTTTTAATTTTCCTTTTTTAAGTATAGTACAAGTGGAAGTCATAAAGCAAATTAATTCTTCATTCAACCATGAACTTTTTGCTCAGGAACATTATTTTCAATACTCACAATTAAGTTGTCCCATTCCCACTCCCTCCCTGTAATTCTAATTTCCATTAATCCTTCTATCCCTTTCTGAGTTTTCCCTTTCTTTAGTAATATTGTGCTGATCACCCCTTTATTGTGTGTTGCCTTTTCCTTAACTCATCTTAATATGTGTCTATAATTTATCTAAGGACCTCTGGGATGGCCTAGGGGTAAGGAGTTGTGCTGCCAAAGGCACACAGTTTGAATCCGCCAGCTTCTCCCAGGAGAAAGACAGATAATCTCCTCTTGGCTGATTTACAGCACCTGAAAACCTGCTGTAGGGTCAGCTACGAGTCAGTTCCAACTCAGTGGCACATAATAGCAATGATTTAGCTATTTACTAATTTTTACTTTCCTCTACTCCCGTCTGGTAACCACTCAAGAATGATTCTAATCTGTGTGTAAACCTTTTCTTAGCTTTTTATAACCATTGTCTTATAGTTGTCCTTATGTTGCTGATTTATTATGCTTATCATAATAAACTCTCATTATGAGAATTTTTAGATACTCATTCACTCATTCTGGTGAATGAGCTCTTGAGAACTCTGGTGAGGAAGTCTGCAGGGAGGTTCTTTGCTAATCCAAAGGTGGCATCTCTCCGGCAGTTCAAATCCACCAGCAGCGCCACAAGAGAAAGGTGAGCAACCTCTTCCTATGTGATTTACAGCCTCTGAAAACCTTCTGGAGGATCAGCTATGGGTTCCAACTCAACAGCAATAAGTTTTATGAGTTTGGTTGGGTTTTTTTTGTTTGTTTTTTGTTTTTGTTTTTTACTGTTTAAAAAATTCACTCACTCAACTGGGCCATTGAGCATCCCCCAGCAGAAAGGGGCCCCCTGCCCCAGCAGACAGACGTTCACTACCACGTACTGTGGAGCTGATCCTGACTTGATGACCTACCAGTGTTACTACAGATCACCTTCACCTTTGATGGCATTTACAGACTAAAGGCTCTAAGTCTTTACTGGAGGACACCACCTATCTTTCTCTTAAGGAGTGGACAGTGGAACAGATCCTTTTGAAGAGATTCAGCTGGCCACTCACAAGCTTGTACAGAAGCAGGAAGTGGAGCGGTGACTCTGGACTGTGCTGTGCCAGTGGCCTTGATGGTGGATGATGCTTTAACGGCACCGTGAAGCATAGACGTGTAGGCCCATTACCAGCTGCTTTGGATAGATTCCGGTGGAGAGGGGTTTGAGAGAAGCGCAGGCTGTCCTAGATGCAGGTTGGGGGCAGTGGTTCAGTGTCTTGGTGGCTTAAATGATGTGTAGGCAGCATTTAAACGCTAGGAGGAATGACTGAGGAGTTTCCTCTCTGTTAAGACTGTTTTCCAACAAAAGAGGATAATTGAACTAGGAGGGACAACCCCTTCGGTTAATTAACTTGAATTAGAAACTGAACAGTCATAGGAGAAATCATGCAGGAAGCGATTTTTAGAAGTTACCTAGACAGAAAAAATGGGAAAGTATCTCATATTTGTCTCGTTGTTGTGTACCATCGAGTCAGAACCGACCCATAGTTGACCCTCCAGCATGTTTTCAGAGGCAGTTAATCTCAGGGGAGGAGATTGCCCATCTTTCTCCTGCAGAGCAGCTGGTGGCCTTGAACATGCCTTTGGGATTGCAGTGCAGCTTCTTGCCATTAGGCCACCAGAGCTCTCTATATTTGTCTTGAATTGGATTGTGTTAATTTGTAGAGTCCACAAATTCCTCAGCTCCATCCTATACAGAAGACGCCCTGGTGGCATGGTTGTTAAAGTGTTCAGCCGCCGACTAAATGCCTGATGGTCTGAACCCACTAGCAATAGAGAGGTGAGGCAGTCTGCTCCTGTATAGGTTCACAGCCTTGGGAAACCTGTCCTGCAGGGTCTCTGGAAGTCCGAATTGCCTCGACAGCAGTGAGTGATACCATATATGTGCTTCCTCTGCCTGCTGATAGGCCACAATGAACAGAAAAGAGGAAGCCCTTCAAGGAGATGGACTGACATAGCAGCTGGGGGGTGGGAGGCAGCATCTGACACAGCAACCAGGGTCTTGTCCTGTTGGTCATGGGGTTGCTGTGAGTTGGAAACACGTCGATGGCACCTGACAACAATGACTGCTCGGACTGGTTCAGAACTCTTCGCAGCCCAGTGTGACTGCAGTTTCACAAGTATCCTCTTTACAGACTCTCCTTCAGAATGAATGAGGCCGCATTCATACGACAGGGTCAAGACTTTGGCATGGCTTTTAGAGACAAAATTCAGCACACAGTGCACTCTGATAATGCATTGCTTTCCCCTTCTCCAAACTTGCTGTTACGTAACTTTGTGGTCCTTTTTTAGCTGTTGTTGCCGTGTACCGTAGAGTCGGAAAGAACCCATAGCTGACCCTCCGGCAGGTTTTCTGAGGCAGTTAATCTCATGGGAGATTGCCCATCCTTCTCCCAGAGAGCAGCTTGTGGATTTGAACTGTATGCCTTCCGGATTGCAGTTTTGTGTCTGTAGATGACATAATATGGCACAGCACTTACAAAGATCCTTGAGTAAATTCAAACCAACCAAACAAACAAAAATTCCCTCACTTACCACTGGTTCTAACTCATAGCAACCCTCCATCAGGTTTCCAAGGCTGTAAATCCCATGAGAGGAGACTGCCCATCTTTCTCTAATAGAACTGCTGTTGATTCCAACCTCCAGGGACATGCAGAGTTCCTGAGTAACCAGTCATGTTATTAGGTGCCATTGAGCTCACTACTACTCATAGGAACCCTATGAACAATGGATCTGAACCTTTCCCTGTCCTGCACCATACTCATTATCTCTAATATACTCGAGTACATTGTTACAGTTACTATGTCAATCCCTCTTGGTGAGGGTCTTCCTCTCTTTCACTGACTCTCCACCTTTCTAAGCATTAATTATGCCTTTTTCCAAAGACTAGCCCCTCTTGGTAACATGCCCAAAGTATGTGACACAGATTCCTCATCCTTGCCTCAAAGGCAAACTCTGTTTTGCTCTTGTTTTGCAAACTCTGGTTGCTCTTTCAATAAGAAAGGGTTTTGGGGTGTTTGGTTTTTTCCTGTTTTGCAGTCCATAGGATATGCAGTACTCTTCTCCAACCTCTCCAACTCAAAAGCATCATCTTCTGTCATCCTTAACCATCGTCCAACTTTCAGATTCAAAGGAAGCAACTGAAAAGATCACTGCTTAAACCAAGTGCATCTTAGTCTTTAAACTGATATTGTTGCTCCTTAGCACCTTGGAGGGGTTCTCCACAGCAGATCAGAGGAAGAGTCATCAACAACCTGCACTGTGCAGATGACACAACCTTGCTTACTGAAAGCAAGGACAGGAGGACTTGAAATACTTGTGGAAGATCAAAGACTACAACCTTCAATGTGAACTACATCTCAAAATGTCAAGAAAACAAAAATTCTCACCACTTGACCGATACACAACATCATGATATTTAGAGAAAAGATTGAAATTGTCGACAATTTCCTCTTTCTTGGATCCACAATCAACACCCTCGGTACCAGCAGTCAGGAAATCAGGAGACATGTCACATTAGGGAAACCAATCTTATAAGGTCAAAATAGCAGGATTTGCCTAAAGGTAAAGTCCAGAAGACAGGAAGAGGTAGGACAGAAGGATTAACGGAAATGAGAATTACAAGGAGGAAGTGGGTAAAGTGTTGTTACATTGTGGATATTACATATTATTAACATGATAAAACAAAATGTGTATTAATGATTTAATGAAAAATCAATGTTTCATAAATATTGACTTAAATCACAATAAAGAAGAGAAAATTTAGAAAAGCACAAAGACATAAATATCCATCACACTCCTCCTACTCCTAGCATCAATCACTCTTTATATTCTCTAAACTTCTTTTTTTCTTACCCAAATGGAATAATTGCATAAATATTTAGTTGCCATTTTCTGTCTTAGAGTCGGAATCAACTTATGGCTGACGATCAAGTGGGTTTTCAGAGGCTATAAATAGCACAGGAGGAGATGGATTATTTTTTTCCCTCAGAGAAACTGGTGGATTTGAACCTCCTGCCTTTAGCTTGGCAGCACAACTCCAAAGCGTCTTTTTTCCTCTACTCTTCAGTATATTCAATATGTTTTCCCTTAAACATGCCAATTTTAACTCAACTATTTTAACTCTTCAATTATTTATTTAATTGGCCTTCTAACATGAGGCATTTAGGCCATCTCCATATTTCTTTGTGACTAAAAGTATCCACAGTGGGCTGGATTTTGAAATGTGGTCAAAGCTAGATGAACAGAGAAAAGGAGAGGAAGCCCTTGAATTAAAAAAAAAATCATAGTATTTGGTCATCTGTTGTTTTTTGGGGGGTGTTTCTCTCTCTCTCTCCATTCTCTGTGTTGATAATTATACTTCCAAGAGCATGATTGTGAGTGTCTGGTTAACATTTGGTTGTGAGAATGTACCTAATTAGTTTAACTGCTCTCTTACTATTGGGCATTGAGGTAATTTCTAATTTTTTATGATTATCAACTACACTGTGATCAATATCCAAGAAGCTAAGTCTGTGCTGGATGCTGAGGTCAGGAGGCCAATTTGCAAGACCTCTAAAGCTTAAGGAACTGGTCAGTAAGTGGTAACTAGAAGCTTTTTTGGCACTGGCCCAGAGGGCTGACTAAGGCCAAGGATGGTGTTGGAACCTCCGGGCTTGCCTGGGGTCAGTACCCATTTACCCAGCCCCAGTCACAGAGTGTTCAGGATGGCATGGCCATTTGAGACCACTGGGCCAGCACCTTCTCACACTTGGGGAAACTGACGCCCAGGGGCTAGGACAACAGCTTAGTGACTAGCCATAGCTCCTCTTCCCCACCCCCACCCCTGTGCCCTGGCTCCTGCATTTGAAGCTGAGAGTCCTGAGATATGGAATCTGAATCAGGTCCTATGAAAACCCTTCCTGCCTTTGGTGGCTGAGGCTGAAGGGAGGGGGTGTTGAACAGAAGATTTAATTAACATCTCCCCCCACAGGCAACTGGTCCTTTTTACCCCCACCCCATTCCACTAAAAGCAAATACAGAACTTTCTCTTTTTTTTCTTCTAATCTAGGTGATGGGCACTCACCAGGTATCAATGGCTCCTGGCAAATCTACTTGGGGCTTGAAATATCCTGAGTCTCTCACTCTCCTCAGACAGGCGACAGTCCCTTCTGTCTATCCAATCCTCTGCCCCCCAACGACCTTCTGTGGTTTGGGGTGATAATGAGCCCCCCCTCTTTTCCCCACTGCAGCACTGCTGCTGCCTGGGGAATTCTCACAAATGGTGTCTGATTTGTCCCTTCTGTGTTTTCCTTTCTAACTCGGAGGTAAAGAAAGCCCCTCACCCCCCAGGGACACCCTGTTTATTCAACTGGGAGAGATTTCACACCCAGGAACCTGGCTTCCCCTCCCTAAGCTCCTTCCCTAAATCGGCATCCCTCCCCTCACCCAGAGCCCCCTCCCCCCACTGCCTGAATAATTTATGATCCAGTCAAGGCTTATAAAAGGGTCTCCTAGGAAAGGCCAAAAGATTGCAGGAGGTTCTGAGAAATAGGAGGCCTCACAGCCTGCCTGGCCTTAACACCCTGAGGATGGACTCTGTTAATCCTTCCACTGCTGCTTCTGCCTCATCCCTGATCCTAGCTCCAGCCCCAGCCCAGGGCCTCCTTGCATTCCCTGGCTTGTTAAATCCATCGCCCCCTCTCTCTGGACAAGAAGTTCTCAGGAGTGGAAGGTGAGTAAAATCTGCCTTATGGCAAACGTGACCTCGGATTTGGGGGTGCTCTTTGGAGAGGAAGGAAATTGAAGTGTCTAGGGTAACCTTGTTCTCTACTAAGGGGAAGAATTCTGAGATCTCACAGCTCACAGAGAGTGTCTTCCTCCAAAGGTCTGGCTGGAATATCTCACCAGCCTTTCACCTCTCTAATCCTTCTAGGTGGTAGGTCTGGATTTAGGGAGCATTGCCAAAGCTGAAGGTCAAGCAGCTAGGTCCTCTTAGGAAAGGCTGCTTAGCCTCTAAGGGCTAAGAGGAGAGCTGAGAAACCTGGGTCTAATACTACCTGCAACTGGGAAGGGGGAGAAGAAAAAGGAGGACCAAAGTCCAAAGCCCGGAATAGCCACTGATCTCTTTCCTAATCACCCCAGATTCCCATTTTGCCTTTTGGACCTCTGTAAGTCTAGCGGGACAGCAGGAGGACCAGTACTATATCTGGCTCCTTTCCTCACCCTCCAGGAAGATAGCAGGGCTGTGAGCTCTGCTCCAGGAGGAGGGAGGAGAAGAGAGTGCAAGATATTTAACATTTACCTAACCAAGCCTTCACTGATCCATTTAAACATTTACTAAGGAATTGTAAGTATCAGACCACAGGCTGGGTGTTGGGAATTCAGATCTGCTCACATGTTAACTCCTTGCCCTAAGAAACTTAAATGCAAGCAAACAATTACAATAGGAACAAGGAGAACTTGTTGCAGAAGCTGAGAGGTGGGGCATTCATCGCACCTGAGCTCAGGGGAGGAGTGAGCCAGGACTTTTTGGAGTATATGGTAGCTGGAACCATGCTTTCTGGAGGCCTCTTTTGTTCTCTTTGGTGGCCCCAGTTCCAAAATCTTCTTCCACTCATGAGTCTTTCCTCTTTGTCCTAGAGGACTTCCTTTTTGGAGGCCCTGGCTGTCTACAAATGACCTCCCAAGACAGGTGAGGAAAGTCATGGAGTTGGTGAGTTTGCACCCCATTACATTTGGTCCGGTGTTCAAACAGCTATGTGCATTCACAACACACCAGGTTCCTTCCTAGAGGGATTTAGACCTCTGGTTTCTGTGACAATTTGAAATATGAAAAGACAGAGACTCAGGAGGAAAGGGATTGGGGCCAAGGTCATAACTAGTCTGCAGTGGATTTGGTGCTAGACCCTTTGTCTCCAAGTGCCCAGCCCCAGCATTCTTTCTCCTCAATCTTTGATACTCCAGTACAACTCTGCACTAGACTCACCCACTGCCTTCCAGTCGATTGCAATTCTTAATCCACACCCTCATTGGGTTTTCAAGGCTGTACATCTTTAAGGGAGAAAACTCCCCATCTCTACCTCAGTGTTGGGTGGAATCAAACTCCCGATTTTTGGGTTAGCAATCCTATACATTATTCACTAGACCACTCAGTATAGCTCCTTGAACTCTTCTCTGGACAGTCTCTTAAAAATATTTTGGTATAAATAAATTCTTTCATTGGAGTATATTTTACCAAGAAAGATTTTTTTAAATTCCAAAATATTTAAATCTAACGGTGGGGGGGGGTGTTGAGAGGGAGGAAAATGTGCAACAATGAATGAATCCAAGTTGTCTATAAACTTTCATCAAAACCAAACCAAACCAAACAAACTGTTCATTTTAAAAGAAAGCATCCCTTTGAATGTAGAAAAAAACCAAAAACTATTTTGGAATAGAGCAGAGGGGCGAGGATGGGTGGGAAGGGGGGTAGCTTAATCATAGGGACGCACAATTTGATGGCTGGAAGGAGGGGTGGGTAAAGGAAAGAGGAAAGATCCGGTGTGAAAAACAATGTATACGGACTTTGTAAGCAAACCAGTACAA